TTCAGTTTCTAAGTGTGACTCTCTCCCCAACCTGCCCTTTCAATCTAGTGCTCATGCTTAGATTATACATGCTCTAATTTCTTAAAAATTGTGTTTATTCTTGCCTAGAGGCTGCCAATCCAAGCAATCATACAAATGGAACCAATGACAAATGTGCTAGACATCTTTTAGTGGGATCCACCTGACTGACCTTGTAAACAGTTCATAACTGCTAAACTACAATATGACTTCTGTGTCAGATCCTAAAGTCCCCTGGACCTTATCCTTATCCTTTTTGTGGGAGGCTGTTACTAGTTCCTCCCATAAAAAACACTTGTTGGCTATATTCATAGCAATCCTGCTGACTTTATTATTTGACCCATGTATTCTTAACTGTTTCTTTGGCTTTGTCTCCTCCAGACTTAAAGCTATACAGCTACTCAAAATGGCAATGCCTGGCCCCTTTAGAGAGACCCTCTGTAGATAACTCTGACTGCTGATCACAACTACGACCCTCTTCAGCCGGAAGTAGCCAGAATGGTCTTCACTCCTTGGCCCCTCAAGGCAGTTAGGGGTCCTTCTTCAGGGGGGGATTATTGCAGATAGGTAAGTTAATTAGATATCTTGTAGGCAGTTAGACAGGGCCGGCCTGTGAGGAGCCAACATGGAGGACAGTCAAGGAGTCAAGATGGAGGACAGTGAAGACACATTCACTGAAGGCCAGTATTGTAAAAGAAGAGAAACTACCACACCCACATGCTTCCTCTAAGGATGAATGGCAGTGATTGATATTATAAATAGGCTGGGGACCAAGATCTTACCCATCCCTTCCAGGAAAGGTCCCTGACCAAAAATCTTTGTATGCTTGCTATGTGACTTGCCTCCCCATTGGATCATCACGTAATCAATATTACCTAAGCAACTGTACTTGCGATCTTACTAGTTGACTATATAGTTTTGTTGCACTGTGAACTGGCCTCACCTTGTGGCTTTGTCCCATAAAACACTTTTGAGAAGCAAAAGCTATCTTTATCTCAATAAATTTTTTCTACTCTTAGAAAAAAACCACAAATGTGTCTACTATTACCACTCTTGTTCACCATAGCACTCAAAACTCTAGCCAGAGTGATGAGACAAGAGAAAGCAATAAAAGCGATATGTATGGAAAGTAAACTATCATTATTCACAAAAGACATGATCCTTTACACACATAAATCCCCGAGAAACTCCACCAAAAGACTTGTAAAAATAATTAATTAATCAATGTAGCAGGATACAAAATCAACAAAAATCAATAGCATTCTTGTACATCAACAATAAGTCCACCAAGCAAGAAAGTAGGAAAATGATACTATCTACAAGAGCCTCAAAAATTAAGGGAGTGAAAGATATCTATAATGAAAACTAAAGTACTCTAAAAAAAGGAGATCAAGGAGGGCATCAGAAAATGAAAAAAGATATCCTCTGTTCCTGGATAGGCAGAACCAATATTTTCAAAATGGCTATATTACTAAAATTGATATATAGATTTTATGCAATCCCAATCAAAATACCAACAGAATTTTTCATAGAACTAGAAAAAAAATCATAAAATTTATACAGACCTAGAAGATACCCAGAATACCAAAAGCAGTCTTGAGCAACAAGTGCAAAGTAGGAGACATCACAATCCCAGATTTCAAGTTATGTTACAGAACTACTGTGATTAAAAACAGCATAGTACTGGCATAAAAAGTGGATCAATGTGAGCTAAACAAACCTTTCCTCCTTTAACTTTGAGTCTCAGTTGTTTTGTCTCAGTAACAAGAAAATTAATTAAGACAGTAGGTAAAACTCAAACACATAGGCATAGGTGAGGATTTTTTGAACAAGGCTCCAACTGCACAATCAACAAATGGGATTGTACCAAATTAATTTGCACAGGAAAGGAAAAAACCCATATAGAGAGACAACCTGTATAATGGGAAAAAATTTGCCAACTGCTCCTCAGAGGACTAATATATAGAGTATATAAAGAACAAAAAAAACTTAGACCCCCCCCAAATAAAGGACCCTATGAAAATATTGGGCAATTAAAATGAATAGACAGTTCTCAGCATTAGAAGTACAAATGGCCAATAAACAAATGAAAAAATGTTCATCATCATCGGTCATGACAAAAATGCAAATTAAAACAACACTGAGATTCCATCTTATTCCAGAAAGAATGACTACTATCAAGAAATTAAATAATAACAAATGCTGGCATGGCTGTGGAGAAAAGGGAATCCTTCTACATTTTTGGTGGGAACATAAACTAGTGCAACCACTATGGAAATCACTATGGAGATTCTTCAAAAAACTAACAATAGAAATTCCATCAACCTGGCCATTCCCCTTCTAGGTATCTTACCAAAAGACTTAAAGATATCACATCACAGTGATACAAGCCCACTGAGGTTTATAGCAGCGCAAATTATACTAGCTTAATCTTAGAAGCAGCCTATATGTTCATCATCAGATGAATGGATAAAAAATGTATACACAATAGAGTATTACTCAGACATTAATAAAGATAATTTTGAATCATTTGTAGGAAAATGGATGCACCTTGAGACCATTATAGCAAGTGGAACAAATTTGGCACACACACACAAATATAGCATGGTTTCATTTATATGAGAAACCCAAAGTATAAATAATTTAAAAGCAAAATAAAAGATAGCTATTACAAAATAGATAGATCTGGACCCGGGATTTAGCTCAGTGGTTCTGCCGCCTGCCTCGCAAGCACAAGGTCCTGAGTTTGATCCCCGGTACCAAACCAAACCAAACCAAACCAAACCAAACAAAATAGATAGATCTCCATCAGGCAAGAAGGGGAAATAGAGATGGGGGAGGGAAGAGGACAGGGAGGCCAGTGGAAGGTAAAAGAACTAAGATGTGTTATGTGTATGTACCAATTCCCCATGATGAATACAATCATTATGTACAAAAATGTGTTACTAAACGAGAAAAAAATTAAAACATTTTAGAGTAATAAAAATACATGACTGCATTTACCCAAGTTCATTGAACAGTATATCACAAGTAAAAATGTACGTAGAGTAAATCTAAAATAATAAAAAACAGGATGTTGGGGGATCAAGAAGTGATGCAGACCATGACAGATTAATCTAGCTGTCTTACAAATGTAAAACATAAACACCCTAGAAGGTATGGGAGAAAAAAGGACCTTAGCGACTTTGTAAAATGACATTTCAATTGGAAACTAAAGCTAAAGAGAAAATGAACTACATGAAACACTGTATTGTGCTTGGCAAATTTGCCCAGTATTTGTCTTTTTGTGACTAGCTTAATTCACTTATCATATGTTCCCAAAATTCATACATGCCGTAGCATGTGACTGAAATGTTTTCTTTTTAAAGAATGCATAATATTCTGTTCAATGTATCTACTACAGTTTATCCATTCATCTCTCAAAGGACATCTGGCTATGGTAAATAAATCTACAATGAACATGATTGGGCAAATTTCTCTTCAAGATTTTTCTTTGTATCCTTTTGGATATCTATCCAGAAGTATGATTGCTGGATCTTATGTTAATAATATTTGCAATTTTTTGAGAAATCTGCATAGTTTTCCTTAGTAATTTCATCATATTGTGTTCCTACCAACAATGGACAGGCGTTTCAATATCTCCATATCCCTGCTAACACTTGTTTCTTTATTTTGATAATGGGTATGAAATGATAATGCATTGTGGTTCTGATTTCCCTTTTATGATTCCACATGCTGAAGATTAAAACGAGACCTATATCTTTCACCATGCACTAACCTAAAATTGAAATGGATGAAAGATCTAAATATTAAAACAGAAACACTAAATCTGCTGGAAGAAAGAATAGGTAGAACGCTTGAAGATGTAGGGGTAGACAAAGACTCCATGAAAAAAACCCAGACCTCATGGGAAATACTACAAAGAATCAACAACTGGGACCTCATCTTGTTATTATTATTATTATTTTTTGGTATCAGGGATCGAACTCGGGTCCTTGAGCTTGCGCAGCAGGCGGCAAAACCACTGAGCTAAATCCCTGGCCCAGGGACTTCATCTTATTAAAAAGCTTTTGTACAGCAAAAGAAACCACCAACAGAGTGAAGAGACAACCCATAGAGTGGGAAAAAAATTTTACCAGCTATCTAGATAAAGGACTATTATCTAAAATATATAAAGAAGGGCTGGGGATTTAGCTCAGTGGTTCTGCCAACTGCCTTGCAAGCACAAGGTCCCGAGTTTGATCCCTGGTAAATAAATAAATAAATAATAAATAAATAAAATAAAATATATAAAGAACTCAAAAAATCAGACTCCACAAATTTAAAGACCCAATGCAAAAATGGGCATCTGAAATAAGACACTTCTCAGATGAAGAATTAGACATCACAAATAAAGATATGAAAAAATGTTCAGCATCACTGGTCATTCATGAAATGCAAATTAAACAACACAGAGATCCCATCTCACTCCAGAAAGAATGGCTGCTATCAAGAAATCAACCAACAATAAATGCTGGAGGGGCTGTGAGGAAAAAGGAACCTTTCTCCACTGTTGGTGGGAGTGTAGACTGGTGCAAACACTGTGGAAATCAGTGTGGAGAGTCTTCAAAAAACTAAAACCAGAGATTACATTTGATCCAGTTATACTTCTTCTTGGTATCTTCCCAAAAGAATTTAAAGCATCATACCACAGTGATATATGCACATCCATGTTCATAGCAGCACAGTTTGTAACAGCTAAATCTTGGAAACAGCTGAAATGCCCATCAACAGATGAGTGGATATAGAAGATGTAGATTTTTATACAATGGAGCACTTCTCTGCCATAAAGAAGGATGAACTTCAGACATTTCTAGCTAAATGGTCGCACCTTGAGAGCATACTCTTAATTACAATAAGTCAGACGCAGGTGTTTAAACACCGCATTGTTTCTCTGGTGCGAGAAACTGAAAGTGGAAATGAGGACTGAGATGCACAATGATGTTGGGCAATGGGAAGAAAGTGTCCAAATGGGAAGGGGAACAAGGAGGAGGGAGGGGGACAGGAAGGAAGGGACAAGGAAAAAAGTGAAAATAGAAGGAAAAAATGGAAACAAAGCTTCTGTGCATAGGGAGGGGAGGGGGCCTGAGGGGGGAATGGGATAAAATTTATTTAAAAAAAAATACTGGTCTTTATCCAAGGAGTACTAGGGACAATGGCAGTTTAGAGCACTAGGGTGGACATGGGCAGGGATGCCCTCCTGGATGATGAAAAGACTGAGAGCTAGAGAGGACTGTAGCTGGTATCCCATCTCCTGGCTTCGTGTGGCCTCAATGCCCATCCCTCCGCCTCCGGATGAGCCCCAAGCTCCTCAGGCCTCTGCTCCCAGCACCCTCTTCTGCCAACACAGGCCGCCTGCCCCACCAATCTGCTCATACCATGCCTCATACTCCCTGGGAAAACACCATCCTTTCAAGACTCAGTTCAAAGCGCACACCACATGAATGAATGAACAAACAGTACCAGGAAGGGCCTCCCTATTCAACTCATGTGCTCTTCCCTTCTTCCAATCCTTCGACATCCAGCACGAGTCATGAGAGGCCTCAAAGGACTTTACCCCATCTTTCCAACTTGTTCCACAGATGAGCACAGAGGCCCCACCTGGTTTGGTGTCTGGTGGAGGCAACAGCAGCTCTCGGAGCTGGGAGTCCTTAACATCCTCAATCCAGCGCAGGTCCAGGAGCCGCAGGGCTGGCAGTGGGGCTGAGCCCAGGGCAGAGACAGAGAGCCAGGAGCAGCCGGAGAGCACCAACTCCTGCAGGCCTGGTGTGTGTGGGGAGTCAGAAAGCAATACTTTAAGTCCCCAACTTAAAAGGATTCGAGCTGCAAAGTTTTACAGATATGAATGGACCTCACTTTGGGGTTTTTTTTGCTTTACATTGTATATCTGTGTCAAAGGTGTACAGGACTCTCTTTGTCAGACTTATGAAAAAATCCAACTTACGAATGTTCTCCCAGAATGGAACTCATAAGTCAGGGACTCCATCCGAGGCCCGTCCCTGCCCCTACCCTATCCTGACTCAGCACCCCACCCTACCTTGCAGTCGGTTCAGAAGCCACATGAGCTGCTTCTTGGAGACACCTGTCCAGCTGAGGTCCAGGGCACGGGGCTGGCGGCGAACCACCCCACTGAGCATGGGTGGTGTCAGTGACTTCCGCCGGCTCAGGTCCATTCGAGGCCACAGACGCTTGTCGTAGCACCTGCCAGCCACAGGGAGGAGACAGAGACAACCTCAGCTCCTGGGGAAACCACAA